TCGAAGCAGGCATGTTCCCCGGGTGTCTATTCATTATTGGCTCTTGGTACCGTCGCCATCAGCTCCTCACCCGCATGGCCTGGTTCATGGTCTCCAACGACATTGCCGGCACCATATCCGGCCTTCTCGGCGCTGGCCTGGGCTCCCTCGACGGCACGGGAGGCTACTCTGGCTGGTCGTGGATCTTCTTCATCGAAGGCGCCATGACGTGTGCTGCCGGCATCCTGGCCTTCCTATACATCCCTCCGTTTCCTCACCAGGCGACCTTCCTCCAGCCCGAGGAGAAGGCGTGGCTGTTGAGGACTCTCGAGGCAGACTCCCAGAAGAACGGCAGTAAGCACGACAAGATGACGGCCAAGGGTGCCCTTCACTCTCTCAGGGACTGGAAGGTCCTCACTGCCGGCGTGCTGTACCTGGCAGTCTGCGTCACGGCCTACTCCATTTCCGTCTTTACCCCGACCATCCTGACGACGTTTGGCTGGGACAGCCTCAAGTCCAACCTCCTGACAGCGCCGATCCGAATCGCCTCAGGCATCGTCTCGGTCATAGTCGGAATCCTCTCTGACAAGGTCAAGAGGCGGGGTCCCTTCTGTATCGGAGGGTACTCGTTTAGTATCCTTGGCCTCCTTCTAGTCATGCTTTTGCACAACGGGAACCTCCGATACATGGGACTCTACTTCTCGGCCATCGGCATCTACATTTGCCAGCCTTTGGTGGTGGCATGGTGGTAAGTGGCTTGATTGCGAGTCATTGTCCTGACAAGTACTGATCAAGCAATCTAGTGTCAACCAAGTCGTGGGCAATGTCAAGCGGGGGACCGTCACCGCATTCGCCGTCAGCTGCGGCCAAGTCGGAGGCATTATTTCTGCCCTGGTGTTTCCCAAGAGCGACGGGCCCCAATACGTTCCCGGCATCTCTGTGTGCATTGGCTTCCAGGTTCTGGGAATTCTAGCTGCGGCCAACATGTGGATTTGCTGCGGATGGGAGAATAAGCAGCGAGATGCTGGGAAACGCGATCATCTTAGGGAATTGTCTGAGGATGAGGTTGACAAGCTCGGAGAGAAGCACCCGGACTTTCGCTATACCACCTAGAGCGGTTCGCACGTCTCTGGTAGTTGACTGGGTCTACCGTAGTTGATTGGGTCTATTAATACAGACTAAACAGGCGTGGGGATCTTCCGAGCGCCTTGATACATCTTTGCTACATTGGCTCGCTATATCCTGTTAGTAACAACTCCATGTCAGACCACTCTGGCATGGGTATATCCTGATTTCCAACAAACGGCATCCCTTCTGCAAAGTTGAAGGGCAAAAAGTCCAGCAACCCATCCATCGACTCAGCAAATGGCATGCTGGAGCTCATGTCGGCTTGTAGGTGGTCGAAAGCGCCAGGTCCGGTGGTGAGTGTGCCACTCTGGAATCCTTGTGCAGGAGGGTTCGCATTGGGGAGTGGCTCGCTTGGGTTGTTGATGCATTCTGAAAACGTATCGACGACGCGGGCAAATCGCTTCATCGAACCCGACTTCTCTGTGCGGTTGATGGCAAGTCGCATGTCGGACACAAGATGTCGAATACATGATTGCAGCTCGTCGGAAGCACCTTCAAGCCGAAGTAGCCTGAGGATGAGAATCATGGTTGCGCAATAGGCGTAGAAGATGTCCAGTCCTGACAGGCCATTGATCACCTCAAAGTAGTCTAGCAAAAGGCTGAGATATCCTACTTGAATGGCGTGTTTGACGCAAACAGTGGCCAGCGCTGAGACGGAGCCGCCAGTCATCTTTCGTAGCATGGCGATGTCTCGAAGAAGAACTGGCCTTGTCGCGACAATGGCGATATAGTGGAACTGAATGTGCAACAGCAAAACAGCGCGGAGCTGGGCTCGAGTCTTCCACGCAAGCGACACCTTGAGTTCGTCCATGCTCATGGCGTTGGATCGTGTCAGGGGGCTCTTGATCCATGGCACGTTACATCCGGGCGATTGAGAAATGTCCCTCTTCCATGAATCAAGAGAGGTCATGATTTCGTCGACTGTGGGTGTGTTTGGGAGATTCCTACTCCCGTGCAGGAGTCTGGTCTTTGCCAAGATGGCTTGGAGTTTGAGCGACCAGGACACCAGCTTGGTATCGGCACTTCCGCCGTCAACAAAGCCTTCCCTGGGAGCGACAACTTCGACGTCAGCTTCTTGTAGCCCACTGGGCCGGCCTAGGCTAGAAGAGAGAAACTGCTCAAATGAATACAAGGTACAGAAGACCCATTTTCGTACCTCTCTCTCCAGCGGTCGAAACGTCGAGGCCATGTCAGATCGATGCAAGCCGAGGGCGAAGCAGATTCGAGTTGCAGTCCCAACTAAATTCCAGGCCGCGTTTCGTTCATTATTGTTGTGCAGAAACAATGCCAGGAGTAGCAAGACCCTCACGTTGTTGAGACTGCACTTGGAAATGAATTGAGGTAGGAGAGCCCTGGTGGCCGTGGCAGATTTCGAACGGAGACTTGCATGGTCGGCATTTGGAATGTTTCGATTCGCGATGGATCCAAACACAACCATCATATGAAGACATCCGATCCATCCCCAGTCCGGCAGTGGACGCTGTCGAGACCTAGCAAGATGTGGTCTCCGTCTGGTCTGAACAACGTACAACTCGTATTCGTCTTCGAAGGTGGCCCGATGGAATAGGGGAAAGTCATCATGCACGTTCTTGAAGTAAGAGTTTATCAATGCTTCAAGGGTCTCTTCGGGCGGGAACTCCCTTAATACTTGGTCCATGTCGGCAGTAGGAAAACGAGTGAAGTCGCGGGCGATGGCTGACGTAATGGATCCCGGCGATGTTCCGTCTGGCGAGAGGTCTTCTGGTTGCTGCACTATTGGTTCTCCTTCAGCCTCGAGGGCTTGAGTAGTGTCGTCACTAATGAATTTGGTGGCGCCCCGGCTCGGAGAAGTCGAGTTGGCGTCGACAAGATTTCGCAACTGGTTCAAGAAGTTCAAAGTGCCTGACGGTCCAATGTAGTGCTCGTGGCCAGCTGCATCTTTAATGAGCGATGCGTGAGGCTCGTCTGACTTGGCACTGCTGATTTCTGGTTCCGGCGCGCTCGCTGTTGAGGCCACGGTTGAAGCCACAGTTGCAGGGGCGTCTGGCTGCTGAACGAGATCTTCCATCTTTGCGGCTTGCCGGTTTGGATCTGACAAGTCTGGCATTTGATAGCCCATGCGTTGGCCTAGCTGTGTAAGTTGGGCGACTGAGTCGATTGTCTCGTTTGGAAATGCCCCTTTGACGATTGCTTCTAAGCATCGATATCTATATCGCCATGATTAGATGGATGTGCGCAGAGGTTACGAGAGGCAGCATGCATACCTATCGCTCAAGTCGTCATAACTCCCGTAGAAGCGAGTCTTTCGTGGAATCGTATAAGAACATTGAACGTTGTGCTCTAGACACGTCACACAGCCCGTGCCAGTCTGAGATGGGACACACTTGCATCGCCGCTGATATGCGATTAGCGACAGATAATCCTTCGAAGCAGAGCCTTGATGGAACCAACCTTTCGACATCGATCACAGCTCTGGGGATTCCGCTTCCGGAATTCCTCGGGGATCCGTCGCATTCGCCGCTTGGCTGCTGCCGAAGATTCTGACATGATTGCAAGGATTCATCGGCTCTCTGCTCCCATGAAGCTATTGCAGGGCACAGGAGTAATAACGATAATACGACAATGAACCCGTTGCAGGTGGAGATGGCCGGGAGCTCCATGAGCGGGCGGCGGGCGTTGAGGCGGCAGGAAGCATGCTTCCGATATGATAATCCGGGGGAAATGCGGGGGGTTTGGCCCGATGACTCGCGCAACCTCAGCCGTGATGCGTCGATGCGTCATTACAAAGTTCGGTGCAGTTGCAAGTGCAAGCCCAAGTCGCCCGAGGCTGAGACCGAGATATTCTCTACTGCATTCGTACTGTCCACCATATTCTTCCAGAATGGCCAGCTCCGTCACTCTGCCAGACGACCGCGTCTTGTCCTACTCGCTGGACACGACGCCAGATGGGCCTGTAGTCTTGCTCTCCAACTCGCTATGCGCCCCCTACGGTGCTTGGGAGCACGTCGTCAAGCATCTCAACGAACATGGCTACAGGACGCTTCGATACGATCAGCCGGGACACGGCTTGTCGTCGGCTCCCGCAGCTCTCGACACCACCTTTGACTCCATGGCCGACGATGTCCGGTACTTGCTGACCAAGCTGGACATTTCCAAGCTGCACGCCTGGATTGGCGTGTCCATGGGCGCTTCTGCCGGCGTCTACTTTGCCACCAAGTACCCCGGTGTTGTGGGCAAGCTGGCCATTTGCGATACCATCTCTTCATCGCCTGTCAACGCCGGCGTCGAAGATGCATTCGGCCCAAGGGTCGCCGCAGCAAGAGAAGCCAACAATCTAAACACCACTATCCAATCGACTCTGGAGCGATGGTTCGGCAAGGCCTGGCTTGAGAACAACCGCCAGGAAGCCCATCGAATGCGGACAGTCATGTCCGGGACATCCGTTGACGGATTCGAAACTTGCTGCCACGCCTTGAGAAGCAAAACATTCGACCTGCGTCCGCTGCTTGCCAAGGTCGGCGCATCTGTTGAGGACGCTGTCTGTGTAGTTGGTGAGAACGATGCCAATCTGCCTCAAGCCATGGCAGGAATGCGAGACAGCGTCGAGGAGGGCTTCAAGGATGCTGGGAAGGAAAAGATTATTGATCTCGTCGTGATTGAGGATGCTGGACATGTCTGCTTTGTCGATGGGCTTCAACAGTTTATCCAGTTTATGACGGGATGGCTGAAGCGCTCGTGATCGAGCTAGCTATAAAGAATAGCACTGATGCCGAGACGTCTGGAATGAACGAATGAATGAAGCCGATCATGCCTTATTGGTACTCATCATGACGTCTCATAAGTGATTCAACCGAGTGACATTGGTGGAAAAAAGAAAAAAAAAAGTATCAAGAGAGACACACATCAAAAAGGAGTGAGGGACATCGGATTCGAACCGATAACCTTCAGGAATCTCGTTATAAACTAACTGGAATCTGACGCGCTACCGTTGCGCCAGCCCCCCTGTTGATGGCGAAAAGGCGAGAAAAGAGTCCTCAGGAGGTGGGAAACTGAGATCAGCGCAAAGCATTCGGAAGATGGCATGGCAAAAAGGGAATTGAGGGACACCAGATTTGAACTGATAACCTTCAGGAGTCAAGCTATGAAAACATAACTGGAATCTGACGCGCTACCGTTGCGCCAGCCCCCCTATTCGATGATTCAGCAGAAGGAAAGTACCGGTAAGAACACGAGCATTGGGAAGACCGTTAGGAAAATAATATGCGAAATGAGCAAAAAATGAGGGACATCGGATTCGAACCGATAACCTTCAGGAGTCAAGCTGAAACTTAGCTGGAATCTGACGCGCTACCGTTGCGCCAGCCCCCCCATTTGATAAAGTTGTGACGAAGAAAGAGCGTCCATGTAGGCTACACGTTCAGAAAGCTGTGTCCAGGGTAGTTGCTCCAACCCATCACTTTACTTTGCCTTCGATCGGAACACCATGTAGAGGTCACTTTCATAGCTATCCCAGAATGTCTCTAATGAATGAATGGCGCTATTCATGGCCTTGTGCTTAATAAGATACCTTGTACGTAACTCCACCCAAACCGTTGTGTTGGTGATGCGATAGCTACCTATTCAGCTTCTCCGCATTGCGTGCTTAACCCACGACAACCTCCAACATGACAGATGACTTTACCGAGATCCCGGCCATTGACGTGTCGTTGGCAGACGATCCCGCAACACTCCCAACACTACTCACCAGCTTAAAGACAGCATTGACCGACATTGGTTTTCTGTACATATCGCATCATGGTGTACCTTCACCCGTCATCGACCGCCTAGTCGGCATTCTCCCTACACTCTTTGCGCTCCCAGAACAGGCCAAGGCGGGAATTGCGCTCGAGAACTCGCCTCATTTCCTCGGATACAGCGCCGCCGGGACGGAAACTACGGCTGGCCGTGCGGATCAAAGAGAGCAGGTCGAGTTTGCGACCGAACTCGACGTTACGGATGGTCCCTTGCACGAGCGGCTGAGAGGTCCAAACCAGGTAGGTATGATTTCTCGGCATCATTGAATGACCCCTCCTGACTCGGATGGTTTAGTGGCCCAGCGAATTACCCGAGCTGAGACACATCACCGAACGCTACGTTGACGAGTTGACCAAACTGGGCGAGAGGTTCTTGCGTCTCGTTGCCCTGGCCCTGGACCTCCCCAGAGATACCTTCTTCTCCTATCTCTCAGACCAACATCGGCTCAAGCTAGTGCACTATCCAGCGTCAGAGCTAGCCAGCCAAGGCGTCGGTCCTCACAAGGACTCTTCGGGCTGGTGGACGTTCCTCCTCCAAGCATCCCCCGACGTCGGAGGGCTGCAAGTTCTCAACAAAGCAGGCGCCTGGGTCGACGTCCCAGCCGTGCCCGGAACATTTGTAGTCAACATTGGCCAGGCTTTTGAAGTGGTGACGCACGGCGTGTGCAAGGCGACGACTCATCGCGTCCTGTCCAGCTCCAAGGAGCGGTTCAGCGTGCCCTTTTTCCAAGGCGTGCGGCGCAGTTTGACGAGGGCTGAAGCGCTGGAACCCCTTGCGGACCATTTTGCCAAGTTTGCTACGGGCAAGGAGTCTGGCGAAGGGGAAGCTGTTGATTCACCCTTTCTGACAGGCAGATATGAAACGTGGGGGGAGGCACAGCTCAGAACCAAGATCCGCAGTCACAAGGAGAATGGAAGACGGTTTTATCCTGAGGTGTATGAGAGATATGTGAGCGATTCATTTTGATCTAGGCACTTATAGATAGTAGATGGCATTGTCTTGACCTCTCCCCGTCCAGAGCTTGGCTCAAGGGGTGAATATGAATGCTGCCTGGCTTCTAACCGGACATATATGTTGAACTGAGCGATGATGGCGGCCCAGGAGACATAATTGTGGCGGATTGCGTCCATATCCAAAGTGTCCGAAAAGTGTCCGTTATATAGTGGCCAAGTATTACTTAGAGAGTGAGCCAGGGCAAACATCAACAACAACAGCAATATGGCCTCACCTTGCCACCGAAATCTCTTTACTACCAGTAATGGCAACACGTATTCATACGTTTACAACCCCGCCGACCAAAATAGAAAGGCGACTCTGCTCCTCCTCCATGGCTTTCCGTCTACCCTCCACGACTGGCGCCTTCAGATCGACCACTTCTCCTCGAAAGGATACGGAGTCGTCGCGTTGGACCTTCTGGGCTATGGCAGCAGCAGCAAGCCCTACGACGTCCAGCAGTATCGCCTCAAGCCAATGGGGGATGAAGTGGTCGAGTTGCTGGATCATCTCGGTCTGCAACAAGTCGTTGGAGTTGGCCACGACTTTGGAGCCACGTTGCTGTCCCGAATGGCAGCGTATCATCCGGAACGATGGACTGCTCTGGTGTTCCTCGCTGTTGGGCCGCCGAAGCTGGGGACGTCTTTCGACGTCGAAATGATCAACCAAATGACCAAACAGGCGCTTGGGTTCGAGCTTCTCGGGTACATTCCGTGGCTGGCCAGCGATTCAGCGCAAGCCACCTTGGAGAAACACGCCGAAGCAGCCATGAACCTGCTGTTTTGTCGCGACCGCACCGCTTGGGATCAATGGTTTCATCCGCTGGAGAAGATGAAGCAGTTTGTGTCCGAGGATCGGCGGCTTCCGGTCGGACCGTGGTACACCGAAGACCTGCAGAGGAAGCACTTGGAGGCTTTCAGCCAGCCGGACGGATATAATGGCGTGACGAGGTGGTATCGCATGTGGATGGACAATCTATTCGCGCCCGACGAGGTTGGGTTCCAAGACTTTCACATCTCGCAGTCGGCTTTGTTCGTCGTTCCGAGAGAGCCTGAAGCATCTGCAGCGCAACAGGAACAGATGCTGGCCGCGTGGACACCAGAACTAAAGACGGTCAAGGTAGATAGTGGCCATTGGGTGCATTTGGAGAAGCCCCTCGAGACCAACAAGGCCATTGAAGAGTTTCTATCTGCCTCGTAGTTATCGAGTTGTTTACTCCACTGGATGCATCCAGTCAAACGTATCGAGCAAATCAAAGTTGAAATCGAGCTGCAATCGTTCCCAGTCGAGCGTCTCAAGGCTCTCACCTGCCATGTTGTTCAAGCTGTGATCTAGGACGCCTTGGATCACGGCCTTGCAGTCAACGCATAGATCTGCGTTTGGGGCCGACGGCTGCACCCAGCCGAGGAAGCCGACGAGAAGACTCAGCTGCTGGATGATGCTGGACCGGCTCAGTTTGGGATACTCTGGGTGAGCGCCGTGGAGGGTTGGACGAAGCAGTTCGAGACACAGGATGCCTCCTCCGGGGGCAGCATAGCCCATCAACTAGAGATGATCAGCGAGGCTATTCTAGATATAATGAGCATTGGAGTACACACCAGCCACTCGAAATCACGTCGGATAGATGCAAACCGATCCTGGTGAGTCCATATCGTGAGTGTGAGCGACACCATCTCGAAGCTCGTGACCAGCAGTTGGCCAGCGTCTTGGCCCCCGAACCGAAGCATCAGACGCTCTACAAAGAAGAGGTTCTGCAAGTGCTCGAGTTTGAGCAACAATGTCGTGCAAAGTCGGTCCGTGTCGGCGCTCGCGTCGTTTAGATCCTCGGGTCGAAAGGTGAGGCTTGAGGGGAACTGCGATACGGTGGTGATTTGGCGCTCTTTGATGGCCCTGAGTTGGTTAGCTGGGTTGATGCTCGCAGAAGATGAAGGGACTCAAGGACTCTTACAGAAGCTGATCCAGAGTGTTGTTATATCTTGTCCCTAGAGCAATCTCGAGCAGCTGTTCCCTGATGTATGCAATCATTCCGCGGGCGCGAAGAAGGGTAGAAGAATGCAGTCGACCGTCGGTATTCCACCCGTGTTCGTCCAGCATGTCGATAGCGCGTGCCAATGTGTCGCCACCGGCAATGAGATCGTCATCTCGGAGGTCCAGCGGGAGAGGCGTCGAAGCGTAACGTCGACTAATAAGGGGCGGCCTCCCAGTAAACGACACCATGACCTTGTCAATGTTGAAGACTTGGGCGAATATGCGTCGTCTATTCTCTGATATCAGGGTCGGACGGTACGTGGGAGAATCGCGCTGAGCATGGAGTCCGAGGAAAGTCATCATCGACACTGTTTCTCCATGACATCTCCAGCATTCGAGGCCTTTCCACCGTTAGTCGGGTCAACAAGGAGGGAACGCGACTCACTGGCATCGCCTCTGATGATGGACTCCATCGTAGACCTCCGGTAGCAGAGATAGAGAATGAGATCATTGCTCGAGGTGAAATACGAGGCCAACTCTATGCAATACTTGAGAGAGAGGCCAATGGCCGAAACGTTGCGCGTCTCCCAAAAAGTCCATATCAAGGCGATGGATTCCCATCTGAGAGAATCCCCCGCAAACTGATCCATCCAGTCCTGAGCGTCAATGTTGTCCTCTCTGAATGGCCGAGCAGTATTAACGGAAATGGCATGGGCACACTCTTCAAGCGATGCCTCATCACTGTCGAGATGTGGCCCAAAGATATCGTGCAGGGTTCGGATGATGCGTTTCACCGCCTTGAGGATCCAACTGTCAGGACGACAAGGCGTGTTTTCATAACTGAGCTCATCACTCGGCCTCGGGAGATGTCGCAAAACGTATAAGCTCATTTCTCGAAGAGGCTGAGGCAGCTCGGGGCTGCAGCGAACCCAAGGACGCTTCGGTTCGACCTCTAGGGCCCCATTGGCAAGGGTCAGACTCGTCCGAGTCTCTTCAAAGACGGTGCTGTGACTGGTGAAGCCGAGATATCCAGAGCAAGGCGGTGTCGGAGTGGAATTCTCACTCCTCGGTCGAGGCAGAGAGGCAGCAGCGCTCCGAGTGCGCTTCGGCTTCGGCGCGACAGCAGCGGCGGCGACGGTGTAAACGCACGTCTGGCGTCTCTTCCTGCATCTGTTGCAAGTGGGCTGACCGTGATCGCAGGCCACTTTCCGAGCGCGACATTGATCGCAAGCCTGCGGACGGCCGTTTAGGCGACGGAGCAAGGGGGCTTCGCCATCCATTGAGATGTTTGTGAAAGCAGGAGCTGACAAATTGAAGCCGACGAGATGAAGCCGAAGGTGTAACTGGAGAGTATGAACAGGTGGAAATAGCTCGGCTTCGGCTTGAAATCTCGGCTTGCCCTGTTGGCGGTGGGCCTCGGCCTCGGTTCCCGTCCCTCACACACCATCACCGTCGAATAGGCCTAGATACGCGCGTTACAGGCATGCGTCATACCGAGTCGGGTAAACTGAAGAGGATGCTGACCCATCTACAAGTCCTTATTAGGGCGTCGTGTGGTGGTGAGTCAATCCGTAATCACGACGAGTGTGATCTTGGATGTGACGAGCCTGAGT